TGTTGAAGTCAAAAAATGGATACCTAAGTATTACTAACATATAAAGCACTAAATAGGAATGGCTACCAAGTCTATATATAAAGATTTGAACAGTGTTTTTAACAAAATAATTAGAAGAATTTTTTATTGACTTTATTTATTTATTTATTTTTTCTATGAGTTTGATAGTTATTTAATATTTTTTTCAAATAAATTTGCCTATGTATTTACTTATATTTACAATAAATAAAGCAACAAAGTTGTGATACATTATTAGTGTATTTTGTATATATTTATTGTAGAGTGTTAAAAATATAACTAAGTTTTTTGCTTTCACAACTTCTAGTTATAAATGGTTTTATTTGTCAGCTATTCTATTTATGAAAAAATAATGTTGACTGTTTGATTTTTTGGGTTGTTGTTTATATATAATTTATTGTTGTCTTTTTGAATTTATTTATAAATATTGGTGCATTATGCTAATTTAATACATCCAAGTCATTAATAGTTCTGTATAGTTATATCACATCACCTCTTGATCTTCTATGTTTTAATGTTGAAAGAAAGGTTTATCAGTGAGTTTTTACATGATAATTCTTTTAAACTATAAACACAAATTGCTCAATTCACACATAATAACATGTTTCCGTATATGTAAACTCCTTAATGGGTTTCAATATTCAAGGCGAGGTCTAAAATTGAGCAGCCGTGGCGCAGTGGTTAGAGTTCTGGCTCAGAATCCAGAGGTCCGAGGTTCGATGCCAGCTCCAGCCCAACAAACGACATTGGTACGGAAGGAGGCGTGAACTTCCTGTTAAATGCTCACCCGCGGTGCTCTATGATAAGACCGTAAGGACTTCTGGGAGCACCTAAATACATACAAAAAAAAAAAAAAAAAAAAATATGATGTGCTAATAATGTTATATTTCTTTTAACTAATAATTTCAAGAAGTGTTTGATTTGCCCTAATGTCAAACTTCCAAAGTCATTTTTTCTTTATAATTTCATTTTTAAAACGCTTTCATTAAAAGTTATAAAGAATTGTCAATAATGGTACTACTAACCTGATTTTTGTTTTAGTATGTAGCATATATTTGTATATATTTCGTTTTGTTATGTATGCTCCAAACTTTCTGCAACTGTGATAATAAAACCCTATTCCATAGGTTTAATGCCTTTTTTTATTTTGTTATTTTATATGAAAAACTTTAAATAAAATAATTTTAATTATTAGATTAAATAGTATTAATGTTTTGTTTTTAGAGTTTGTTTGTGATGATTAATGTGCCACCACATGAATGTAGCAAATATTAATGAAGCTATGGCAATAAACGTTATGTTGACACAAAAATGGCAAAGTTAAATGGTTCCTCTAAATCTGGTAAGTTTACACTTAATCAAATAAGTTAATATTTCTGCTTTCAGTCTCAAGACATGATATATTTTTAATTGAGTTTTGGTCCATAATAATCCAAGTACCACATGTTTTAATAAATATATTTGTAAGTATCCATTTATTTGGTTGTAATTGTAAATTTTCATTGTGATATTCATTACATTTTAGTTCACAAAGTTATAAAAAGACCCTTTGATTTTAATGTATTGTTGTTAATGGATTGAATTTTTTCGTCAATAATAAAAATAATTGTTATTATAACATAATAACCATGTTGTTTATAAGTTGTGATTATTTAGTATATATGTTGTTACTATATTGTATAAGTATATATGTAATAAATTATTAAGTTGTGCTTATGTTTGTTTTTATTTTATTAAAGTTAAAGCGGATGCAAGAACTAAAGAAGACAACAACGTTACAAATTGAAGCAGAAATTTACAACGAATCATGTTGACGATTGAACATGAATCGCAAAAAAGCATCTTTGTCGAATGGCTATAAATTAGGGTTCATTATCGAAATTGCAATTTTCGAAAATTTTCGATTAAAACGTTATCGAAATACTTCTTTTTTTTCGAAATCTAAAAAAACTTTCGATAATAATCGAACTAGCCATATTAATTTCGAACTAGCCATATTAATTTCCATATTAATGTGAAATTAATTTCGAAATAAAAAGGTGGATTACGAAATAGGAAATTAATTTCGAAAGGAAATAAAGAATTTCGAAATGTGAAATTAATTTCGAAAAAAAAAATGTATTTCGAAAAGTGATATTAATTTCGAAAGACAAAAAAAGAGTTTTGAAAAGTCAAATTAACTTCGAAAAAAAAATATGTATTTTGAAAAGTCAAATTAATTTCGAAAGAAAAAAAAGAGTTTCGAAGTGTGCAATTAATTTCGAGAAAAAACCAATAGATATTTGGTAAGCTAAATTAATTTCGAACTTATTAAAAGAAATATTAAAAGAAATATTGAAATTTTTTTCTTATAGAAAACGTTTAGATTCTTTTTCGAATTATTCTAAGGAGATGTTCTTAGAATTGCTCTTAGAAGAATTTTATTTTTAATAATGTTTTTTTAAAAACTTTTCCATATAAATGGTCCACGGTATTGAATTTGAAATGAATTGAGTTTTAAATAAGATCTTGGAATTACAAAATTATCAGATGGGTATTAATGAGATATTTCTGCAAAGTAAGAGTAAAATATATAAGGAGATAACGCATGTTTTGATTTAAACGTAAAAAGCATAACTTGGTATATATTAAGTTTATAAATAAAAAAACTATGAATAGGGGAAGTCAGGGTACAGTGGATTGAGGGGCACAGTGAATAAGAAGCATTTTTTCAAAGATTATGATTTTGTTCATCACGATGATGTAATAAGTTTATGTGCGCATATATCACCCATCTTTATTTAAAGGTGTTACCACATAATTTTTGACTCTCGGTTTTAGGAAGGTAATTTATGTTTTTAGCTAACTAAAGTAAATGCTCTTACCTTCTTTATGTTTGTTGTGGAGATCATGGTTAAAATCATTTTATAAGTTAAAGTTTTATATTCGGAATACTGATCTTTATGGTTCATTTTAGTAGTTTTGCTTTTCCTTTAATAAAACTCATGCCCCAAGAAATTAAACTTGAACCTTATTTTTTATAGTGGGGCACAATGAATCGGGGTACCGTGAAACGGTTAATTCACTGTGATAAAAATGTTTATAAAAATTAAAAATTCACTTTAAAAAATTTCTTGTGTTGTTGGTTAAATAAGTTTTATTAAATAAATTTTTTTTTGTGATTTTAGATGGTTGAATAAGTTTTGTTATCAATAAAATTTATTCTTTATTTTGTCAATCAGAAAAAATTTAAATTATTTAGTATTAGTTACCAAAAGTGCACCAAAAGTATAGTGTACAATGTATTTACACCCTCATCCTCAAAATTATTTGGCTACGCCCCCATTAACTACCACTAAATTGCAAATGAGTTAATTGTTTCACTGTACCCCAGTACTGGGGTACAGTGAATCACTTAACAAAACTCACTTTAAACCTTTCTGTGAGCTGTTAGATAATATATATTTAGATTTTAGTTATTTCTTATCATGAAGGACATATTCTCAATTTAGCCTTGACAAACATAAAATATATATTTTAACTTTTACTCAAATTAAAAAAAGAAAGAAATTCGACCCACTTTGCCCCATTCCCCCTAAATGAAAAATATATAATTTTCAAAGACTCCGTATTAAGAAAATTATATATTTTTTATGCTAAATAAAGTTAAGGTTTAACTATATATAGCATTGAAGTATTTTTGGATATTTTAATTTCAATAGATTTAATATGATATTTCCATGATATATTTTCATCTATAATCACTACTAAAAAGTTAAAAAAAGACTCTCTTCTAATCACTTTTTTGTTCATAAAGATTTTCCTCAAGTTAGGGAAAGATAAAACAATCCAATTTATAATTAGTTGTTTGGACAACAAGATTTCTTAAAATAGGGCAATATCATAACAGTAAATGCTACTGCTACAAGCTATGAAATTAGTCCTCTTTAGTTACAAATTCTAAACCATTCAATAACGGGGAAAGATTATTTAAATTTACGAATCATTTACACACACACCTTCCTAAATGCATTTTTTGTGCATTTAGTCGGCAAAAATAACCCTTTTAAAGAAGTCGGCAAATGTAGACCTTTTAGACAGGTCAGTCGTCGAACTTCAAAAAACAAGGACCTAATTTTTTACTCAACAAAAATTTTAATGACACCCCACCACGTCACACCTACTTGCACCTGCCCTGATGGCAGCTCAACCATTGGATATTGGTGTTTTTTCCAGAATTGAAAAGAATGTAGCAGAAAACATATTGTCATTAATTAAGCTGTTTGTAAAAAAGTTCATCAGATAAAAAAAAAAAGAATACAAGTGCTTTAAATTACTAAGATTTATAAAATACACTTTTACTAAATACTTTTTTTTATTTTAATAAAGAAATGTTTTTGATTACTTGTTTTCTTTAATAAAAACTAACTGCTTCAATAAGCTTGGCGCAAACCTGTTCCGTAGCTCCGTATCTATTAAACCGGTTGAACTAAATAAGCATTCTGATGGCACGGATGTCGCTGGAACTGAAAATATTATCCGTGCAATTTGTGTCAAAACCGGGAACAATTTTTGATTAGCTTGGAAAAATTCAATGGCACTATTTTCGTAGCTATGAAAGTATTGCAGACTGTAATCATTTATTTCTTTTTCAAGTTTATCATTGCTCTCAATTAAATTACAACAAGATTTATCTGTTACTAGTTCAATTAAGTTGATTGACTTTCGTCTTTTGTTGTTAACTAAAGTAATATTATTTGCAATAGGTGACGTTGACAATTGCTGAAATGTTTTTATGGTATTGTCAACTGAGCTGTTTGACGAGTTCAAAGTGTTATTTAAACAATTTGTTTCAATTGTTATATCGATTTCTTCGGTTTCTTTTAGATGCATTTCATAAAATGTTTTTATAAACATTTTTGCCTTTGAAATGCATTCATATCTATAGATATCATTTTTGATAAACTCGAATTTACGAAATTTGAAATCAAGAAAAGTAGCTGCTAAAAAAAATCATTAGCAAAAATGTATTTAAAACGTCCTTTTAGAGACCTTAATAATTCCTTTTGAAAAGTCTTAACTAGTTCTGTAAAAATAGGTTGCGATTCAAGTATTTCATTTAGTAGAGAATACATTGTTGGAAACAGGAATGTTACTGTAACATATTTCTTTCCGCTAAAAAGTTTTGTTAGCTCTTTAATTGGGTGTAACAAATCACACAAATCCTCCAGCACCTTAAATTCAGTAGCAGTGGGAAGATAGTCTTTTATATTTTGGAATTCGATGCTTATCATACCCAATGCAGTTTTATTTGTTAATATAGATTCAATCATATCGAATTGGCTATTCCAGCGAATAGCTATATCCTGTACTAACTTTATTTTAGTTTCATAACGAAGTGTTTCTTGAACTTCTTTTAACTTTTTTTGTAACATCTCTGAATGCTTAAATGAACCAACAATGTGCCTGCAGGATAAAATTACCTTGGCGATTTCTAATTTGCCTTCGTTAATTTTTTCAATTTCTTTAACTTCACTTTCTGTAATTTCTCTATTAATTAGTTTTCCATTACCGTCGTAATCTTTTACTTGGTAACGCTTTGACCCATTTTTAAATTTTTTTACTTTTATATCTCGTGCGTTTAGAAGATCGTTAACCACGAGATTCAAACGATGACGAGCACACGGAATCTTAAGAACATTATCATCAAATTTATTTACTGCAGAGAAAATATTTGCACCTGAGTCAGTAACTAGTGCAAAAATCTTATTATTGATTGACCATTCACTGAAGATTTCGTTTAACGTATTAAATAAATATTCAGCTGTTTTCATTTCAGACATAAACTTAAGATCCAGGTTTCGGTCAACTAGAGTCATATTTTTGTCAATAAAATGACAAGTCACACCGAGGTAGCTGTTTTTACCTAATGATGACCAACTATTACAAGTAATTGTAATGAAACGACATCCCTTCAATTCTAGCATTAAAATTGATTTAAGATTGTCCGTAATTGATGGAATTAATTTCTTGCTCACCGTATTTATGCAAGGCATTTTGTAGCTTTTGTTTAACTCACTAACTAAGTTTACAAAGTCTGGATGACGTACTATCGAAATCGGCTGATCGGTACCAACAATAAAATTCACCAATAACCTGTTTAATTTTTTATGACCAGTCTCTTCAAAACCATTCTCATTACCGCTCTCAATATCGGATATATCGTTATCGTTGAGTAAAGTTGTTGATTTTTTAGATATTTTAGAATTAATGCAATGATCAATTGATAAATGGGATTGCATTGAACTGGTCGAACTGTTGTAAGGTAAAATCTTATAACATATGCTGCATTTTGTTTGATTCTTTTGGTCCATTTCGAAATATGTCCAAACGAAGCTTCGTTTTCTTATTCCTTTCTTAATAACGGATTTATTTGTTTTTGACATTGTTTATTCAAACTAAAAAGCGAGTAGTTTTTTTACTCGTTCGTATGTAACAAATATTAACAAATTAGTAACTTATGATAAAATAAATTTGTACCACATGTTACTTCACTTACGTTTCCGAGATATTAATGAGATTGTTATAACTTTAATATAAAATTACACCATTTTTAGAATTATGTAACACAAAAATCGCAAAGGCATAAGTCGATTTGAAACCGTTGCAAATCTCTAAATAACCACTAGAAAGTAATTAGCCGTTTACATTGCAACAATGATTTCATGTCATGCGTTTAAGACCTCAAGGGAATTGCCGTTGAGGAATAATAATGACTTATGTGCGTGCTGTAAACTATGCGTTCTTAGAAGGGACTGTCAAAATTCTATATTTCTTGTTTAACCAGATAATCTTTATAGGATTTTAGAGAAAAATTCGAAAAATAATTTAGTTTTTGCTAATTTTTTTAAGCTGACCTTCTACTTTATTTTTAAAAATTTACAGATATTAAAAATAAAATTCCTTACAGACTCTTCTAAAGTGTCTAAAGTTACACAACTTTTCTTTCAAATTTACTTTGATTTTTAAACGTTGTGTTTTCGAAATAAAAAAAGTATTTTCAAAAGAAATTTTTATGCAATCAAAACGACGCGCAAAAAAAACTTTTTTTATTTTTTTAAAGCTATTCAAGCTATCAAAAAGGCTATTCAAGCTTTTGGTGAGGGTAAATATAATCCCTAAAAATAATTTTATAAAAGTAAAAAGTCATGAAGCTTAATCTAATCAGGCGAGAGAGGTGAAGGGGAAGGTATTGTTTGTTCCGGGCAGCAGATGTCCATGGGGCAAATTCGGTAAAAGGCCCTCAAAAATTTAAAAAAGACCCCCTAAATTTGTCCCCCCCCCAATTAAGGAGGAGCGTGGGGAGCCTATCCACGGCTGTGAGTATATCCTTGCTTTTTGGTAGCAGTTTCTTTTAAAAAGTAGCAAAAATAGTATTATTTTCTATATATTTAGAGTTTTATTAAAGTAAAGTTTTTAAAGTAAAGTTTTTAACAAAATACCCAAGAAACAAAATTGAATTGTGCTGCTCAATGTTATGATTTTGGTTTGTGAAGGGGGAGGGGGGGAAAGAGTTAAATTGTTTTCACAAATTGGCCCCTCCTTATAAGTTTTTTCTGAATTGACGCCACTGTTTGAGCCCAATCTGGAAAAATAAAAACTCTACGTCTATGGACTTATCAGTGCAAACAATACATATAAACCCATATATTGGTCAGATGTCTGATGTTACGCTTCGGCAATAACACTTGCGCTGCTCAGCAATACTCGTTTTACGGCTAGCCAGGACTGGCATTTCAGAGAGCCATTATCAAACCAGTGTATACAGCGTTTACACTAAAAAAGTCATTGGGGCCCCAAAATTTAAAAAAACCTGTTACTAAAAATAAAAAAGCTCCCCAAAGTGTCACAAAATCCGAAACCACGCTAGGCTTAAATATGTGAGGTGATTTGCGAACGATCCCTGAGTTATTATTAAATTAATTGCAGATTCTTCTATAAAATAGTGGGAGGTAGTTAAACCCTTTTCTCTGGCCGTAACACCAAAAATTTTAAGTATTATTTTATGTTAATTTTTAAAATTTAATTATTTATAAAAATATTTTAATAAAATTTTGTACAATTTCAGTAATAAAATAAATATAAGCAAATTTTAGAATTTAATAGTAATATTGTGTAATATTTTCAGAATTTCGATATCACAAAAATATTTCGAAGCAAATTTTACAATTTCGAAAGTAAAAAATTTTTTCGGTAATATTTTCCGATTTTCGAAATCGCAAATATATTTCGAAGCAAATTTTACATTTTCGAAAGTAAAACATTTTTTCGGTAATATTTTCCGATTTTCGAAATCTCGAAGCAAATTTTACATTTTCGAAAGTAAAAAATTATTTCGATAATATTTTCAGAATTTCGAAATCGCAAAAATATTTCGAAGCAAATTTTACAATTCCGAAAGTAAAAAATTATTTCGACAATATTTTCAGAATTTCGAAATCGCAAAAATATTTCGAAGCAAATTTTACAACTTCGAAAGTAAAAAAATCGTTTCGATGCAAAATTAATTACTTTAAAATTATTTCGAACTTACCGAAACGAAAATAGAGTTTCGAAAACTTTTTTTTTAATCGAAAATTCAACTTTGGCTTTCGTGAACAACCCTATTATAAATGCAAAAATATATATAAAACCTGTTTTTCAAATTTATTCATAATAATTAAACTTGTCAATAATTATGTGTTTAATACATTTTATTGTCCTTAAACTAATGAAAAATACACTCATTTTAAACCAAAAAATTACAGTCGATTATGCTAAAAACAACTTTAAATATTTAAGAAGACGGGGTCTAAAAAGAAAATATTTCAAATAATTCAAATAGGATTGCCCCATAAAAATTCATAACAATCCCATGGGCGACCCAGTTAATTAACAAAGACAAAATCACGATGGTACGGTAAAATACGGTGGTATATAAATCGTTGATCTAATCGGTTTATAAATCGTTGTTCTAATCGGATGGTACGGTAAAATACGGTGGCTAATCGTTGTTCTGCCAGTTCTTGTCCCGCACTGACTAGCTGCTGTTTTGCCATCGCTGGCTAGCCACGGCTGGTCCATGATAAATCTTTAAAGCAAAACGGAGCTTCGGCAGCCAAAGCCGGTCAAGCGCGGCAGCCTATACAGGATCAGTACGGGACCATTATATCGTTGCTGTCTGGGTGTGAATTGCGTTATCTTCTTCAGTGCCATTTTGTAACTGTTCTAGATGATTAGCAATTTTTCCAGCATCCATAGAAGCATCAAAGTCTGAAAAATTAATTTCTTGAACAATTTATGATTGTAATTCCTAAAGAAAATAATAAATAATACTAATGAAATTCAAGTTAGTAAACTTTATGCTTCATTCAGAATTTTTGTCATTAACAGTTGTAATTTGTAACGGTTAAATTTAACGGTATTATGTGTGTTTAAGTGGCTTGAATAAGGTGTGGTTACATAATTGAAGCCAGTTAAATGTGCGTGAAAGCATTCAAACTATATGTATCTGGTTTTGGATAGCAATATCAATTAATAATAAAGTTGTGAGAGCCCTGTCCATTCAGAATCAATAACTGAGGACGTTGAGGACCAATGTTTTCTAAAAATGTGTTGATAAACCATAGTTTTTCTAGGCCCTGTTTAGTGCAACCACTATCGGCCCAGCTCCAACTTGTTGCGGCCGATAGTGGTATATATATATATATATATATATATATATATATATATATATATATATATATATATATATATATATATATATATATTTATACATATATATATATATATATTTATACATATATATATATTTTTATAAAAGAAATAATTGTCTAATAAATTATTATCATAAATTTTTGTTAATTTAAAAAATATATTACAACTATATTTATATTTATGCAATCTCTACAATTTAAAGTATGAAATATCTAATAATTTTTTATCGCCTAGAAAATGTATAGTAAAAAATATAGAAATGTAGTTCTATCTTTTTTGACAAGAGTTGTCATGGGGGAGGGGGGAGGGAGTTATTTAAAGTGACGTCAACAATTTTTCTTTTAATTTTTGAGTTTTATTGCTTAAATAACGGAAAATTAGGCTGAGTTTGTAGCGTATTTTCTGTGTAGAGGGAGGGGGGGGAGGTAATCAAATGTTGACATAATTTTACCGGGGAAGTCTCTGGAAATTCGACAAGTTAATGACAAGGGGCAGGGGGAGGTAAAAGTTTCAAAAAAATTGTTGAAGTAATTAATGAAGAGCCGTTTAGTCTTCTTTCTACCATAAGCAAGGTTTTTGAATCTTTAATTAACAAACACTTAACCTTTCATCTTGGATCTAGTAATTTACTTTCTGATCATCAAAATGGATTTCGATCTTTTCGTTCATCGGCTGATTTGATAACAGTAATAATCAATAGATTTTATCGCGCATTAGATAAAGGTGGAGAGGTTAAGGCTATTGCTCTTGACATTTCTAAAGCGTTTGATAAAGTTTGGCATGCTGGTCTTCTCCATATGCATTCTTCTTACGGTGTATCTGGAAACATTTTTAAGATTATTGAATCCTTCATTTCCAATCGTAGTATAAAAGTTGTCTTTTATACTACGATTAGACAGCACTCTTCTTTATAGTCTGTAACCTCAGGGGTTCCTCAAAGTTCAATCCTTGGCCCTATACTCATTTTAATTTACATTAACGATCTTCCAGATATTCTCACATCTAAAGTGACATTGTTCGCTGATGATACTATCACTTATTCTTGTCATGATAAGAAACCAACTCCCTCTGATTGCTTGCAAGGGGCATTTGAGCGTGAAAAGAATCTTACTTCTGTTACAGCATGGAGCTTACAGTGGCTGGGGAACTTTAATTCAGATAAAACTCAATTTTTTTCAGCCAATCGTTATCACAATAATTTAGACCTTCCTATCTTTATAAACAGTAATCAACTCGATGAGTCATCTACCCTTCATCTCTTAGGATTAACTCTTACTTCTGATCTCTCTTGGAAACTTTATATCAAATCAGTTGCAAAATTAGCATCTGCTAAAGTTGCATCTCTTATCGAGCTCGACACTTTCTTACTCTGGATTCTATTTTCTATCTCTATAAATCTCAAATCCGGCCTTGTATGGAATACTGTTGCCATATCTAGGAAGGATCTTTTAATAATACCCTTTCTCTTTTAGACAAGTTGCAAAAACGCATTGTATATCATTTTTTTAAACAAAAATTTCATACAAAAAACTAAAGTTTTTCGCATAAATTTTCATTATACTTATAAATTTCATACAAAAAACTAATGTAAACTTTCTAAACTTGGTACATATTTGATTAAAAGAGATAACTGCATACATATTTTAGTAACATTATTTTACACATACAAATTTAATTCTAGAGCAATGTTTTAAAGTTACATTATTATAAACATTTATAATACACTTTTAATTATATAAAAATAAAGAGATTGAAAAGAAATAAGTATATTTTTATTTCAGCATAATATATTTTACAACAATAAAATAAAGAAAAACATCATACCTAATAAACGCTCAAAATATAGAGAAGAATTATTTTCGCTCAATTTAATCTAAAGAGTATTTCAAAAATTTGCAGAGAACGAAGCTCGTTTCAGTAGGTTCGTAGGGTTCTTTTCCAGAGTTCAAAATAAGATTTTGGTTGGCAGTTTTTCGTATAATTCAGAATGAGGTGCATTTAAAGCGCATGCGTATCAACCGTTAAAAATATACTTGGTCTGGGATTTTTCTAAAATAAAAGATTACGGCGTCGCTTGTTTATTAAACCTCTTTGGGCTATAGCCCCTTTTATATTTATATATACTTCTTATTTTATATATATATATATATAAGTAAGAAGTATATTTTATATAAGTTTAAAGTTTATATAAGTATAAGGAGGGCTATAACCCCCTTATACTTATATATTCTTCTTACTTATATATACTTATTTACAGCGAGCTCGACTTATTTATGAAATTTCTAATTTCATAAATAATATCTATAGAAACACTTTTCTATATTTAAAAAATTATAAAAAATTTTTCAATTTGTTTCTAAATTTATTTAATTTCAGGCGTCACCTAACCAAAAAATGTGAGTGCGTAAGTGGAGGGGGAGGGCTATGACCCTCAATTCCCCACTCCGACTTGTCTACGGCCATGATTTATGAATAAGAATTATATAAAAAAAAAAAAACATAAGACGCCTCATTAACTTTTTACTTACTAATATAAAAATAAGCACACAAGCTATAGAAATAAGAACGACATGTATGAATTCAATTTAAAATAAAAGTTTATTTATGAATAATAGTTATATATATATATATATTAAAAAACAAAAGCCGCCTCATTAACTTTTCATATGCTTATAAAAAAATAAGCACCCAAGTTAAATAACTAATAAGTTATATATATATAAAAAAATAAATTTTTTTATAAGCATATGAAAAGTTAATAAGGCGGCTTTTGTTTTTATATATATATAATTATTATTCATAAATAAACTTGTATTTTGAGAAGTCAAGTGAGACCGGGGGATCGAAGAAATAAATTTCAGGTATTCAAAGAAGCAAACAAGATATTTTCTATTTTTAACAGCGACATTTAAATTATTAATTTAGTACAACAACCAAGTCGGACAACTAATGTGTTTTTTTATTTAATTAAAGTTCATAAATAAATTTTTAATTTAAACTGAATTGTAATACATCTTGTTTCTATAATTATAGAAATAATTATAGAAACAAGATGTATTACAATTTTGGCTGTTGTACCAAATTAATAATATTTAAATGTCGCTGTTATAAATAGAAAATATAATCTTTGTTACTCTGAATACCTGAAATTTAAATTGTTACTTTAAATAATTTGCTACTTTATGTAAACACTTAATAATTATGCGTAATATAAATATATATATATATATTTCTTCGACCCCCCGGTCTCACTTGACTTCTCAAAATATATACTACTTATATATGTAAATAACTCCTAAAAACGGGCGCCACAGGCACCCCTGAATATACTAGTTTAAAATAGTACATTCAGGGTACATTCAATTCCATCAAAAAAATAAAAATGCTGTAATTTTCAAAACATTATTATGTCAAAATTCTGCAGTAAACAGCCTAATTGTATTGAAGTTTTAATTTAAAGTATGTTTAGACATACTTGAACTTAAATTTTCACTAATCATTACTCAGATACTTTACATTTCATTTTATATAAAAAAAAGAAGAATATATATTTTGAAGCGAAGAAATAATAAACATGTATATATAAAGAAAAAGAAACCAAATAAAGACATGGTATACTATTTTTGTTTTGATTTTTTTTACTTAACTTTAGAGCGGCGCAAACCTTTTTTTGGTGGTTAAGCTGCAAGTATCGTTTAGTCAAACACATTTTGCGTTAGCTGGCGCAACTGAATTTTGGTTTTGGGGCCTATTAAAACACTTTTTCAGCTCAACAAAATAAACGCTTGGCCAATATTGGGCGAATTAAATTGTGCTGATTGGAAGCTAACTTCCAGATATGATGGAAACTGCAAACATTTTTACAATTTACATTTTTAATTTATAATGTCAAAAAAAAGGATCTTTGCATTATATACTAAATACTTTACATTAGGAGTTTTCATTTATCTGGCAAAGGCTTTTGATACTGTAAACCGAAGTAAAAAATAAAAACTTACTTTGGTTCAAAAGCTATTTGACCAATAGAAAGCAATTCATTCAGTATGAGCAAAAACAAACAATTTCATATGCTGTAACTTGTGGTGTCCCCAGGGCTCTATTTTAGTACCCTTATTGTTACTAGTATATATAAATGATTTAAACTTAGCAACAGACTTCTTAAATTGTATTCTTTTTGCAGATGACTCCAATCTTTTTTATTCCCACAGAGATATTAAAACACATTTTGAAACATCTAACGAAGAGTTGGGTAAGGTTAATAAATGGTTTATAAGTAATAAACTGTCTTCAAATGTGAATAAAACCAAATCTAAATGTGGAAAAAAAAAATTTATTTTATTTCATAAAGAAAATAAATTACAAAATATTCCCATTAAACTGCCAAATCTAATAATCAATAACCCTAACATTAAAAGAAAAACTTCTGTTAACTTTTTAGGCGTAATATTAGATGAACATATACGGAGTGATCATATAATAAGCATTGAGAAAAAAAAATTAAAAAATATTGCCATGATATATTAAGTTAAACCGTTTCTAAATATAACTAAATATAACTAAAATTTAACCATTTCTAAATATAACTAAAGGTAACTGCAAAAAAACGTGGGCTGCTATTAAAGAGATTCTTTGAAAACAAAAAATACACAAGAAAGTCTTACCACGCGTGATTACTGTAGACGGCACACAGATTTCTGATGTAAAATCGGTGGCAACAAAATTTAATGAGCTTTTCGCAACTATTAGTCCAAACTTAGCCAGCAAAATTAAACACACTCCTGCACATTTCTTGAGCTATCGGATAAAAGCTTAGCATTTAAAAAACTCACTAGTAAAGAACTTGATGATTCAATAAAAAAATTAAATAAAAATAAAACAACAGACTATGATTCTATTTCAGCAAGCATAATCAAAGACTGCTATGAACTTATTAAAGACGTTTTATTAGATATTTTTAATAAATTGCATAAAACAGGTGTTTTTCCAGATAAATTGCAATTATTACACCCATTTTTAAATCAGGAGATGAAAGTCTGGTTACAAATTATCGACCTATATCGGTATTACCTGTATTTTTAAAAATCCTGGAACGTATCTTGTATAATAGGATATTTGCATTTTTGTATGATAACAATCTTCTTTATTATAACCAATATGGTTTTCAAATTACTTTACGGAACATGCACTTACGCAACTTGTTGAAGTTATCAGTGGAGCGTCTTCTCATAACAAGTTCATCTTAGGTATATTCTTAGACTTGTCAAAAGCATTTGACACCGTTAACCATCAGTTTTTATTAGAAATACTAAAATATTATGGAATAAGCCACGAATAACATAAATGGTTTACCAGTTACTTAACCGATCGAAAGCAATTTATTTCTCTAAATTATGGCTTTCAGACAAGCAAACTTAAAATATTATGTGGGGTTCCACAAGGCTCCATCTTAGGTCCGTTGCTGTTCTTAATCTATGTCAACGATCTAAATACGTCTACTATTATGTTTGCACACGACACCATTTTATTCTATTCTCACAGTAATATTATCTCATTATTTCAAGTAGCAAATAATGAACTAGAACAAATATCAAACTGTCTTTTCGCTAACAGCTTATCTTTAAACACTGATAAAACTAGGTTTTCCTTATTCCATTCTAAACGAAAGTTTCAATCTATTCCAAAATCCTTACCAATGCTATATATAAATAACATCAAAATTGAGCGCTCATTCACAAATAAATTACTTGGTATTTTAATAGACAAAAACTTATCCTGGAGAGATCATATTAAACATATTAGCAATAAAATCTCAAGAAGTATTGGCATCTTATATAAAACCAGACAAATCTTAGACAAATCTACACTAACTCAACTACATTTTGCATTCATAAATAGTTATTTATATTATGGCAATATTGTTTGGGGTATTACAAATAAATCTAAACTCGACCTTAAACAACAGAATCATGCAGCACGCATTATTCATTTTCAACATCGCTTCACAAATGCTAAACTTCTTCTAAAAAGCATGAGGGCACTTGATATTTATGAATAAAATATTTTCAAAATTATACAATTTATGTTTCAAAATCAATCAAAAAAAACGCCGAAAGTTTTCGAAAATATTTTCCATAAAACATTAAACCGATACAACACGCGATCTACCGGAAGATTTACAAAACCTTTCCGTACATCAAAACTTACAAGCTTTGCCATTTCCTATCGTAGCCCAATGCTATGGAACCATTTTATAAGCCTGAGTCGTAAACTTAAAGAAACCAATACCTCTCAAAAATTTATAAAGAACTTAATCGAACTTAGTGCCAATCAAGTTTCTTTACATGATTTTTTCTAACAATACACTTTTATTTCCAATTGTTATTATCAAAGGTTACTGATGATAAGATTTTATCTTCTTCAGGTTCTCCGGTCTTGTAACTATTATAAATAATGAAATGTACTGGTATTTAATATTTTTAAATATTTTATCGGAAATTACTTTTAATTGTAAATGGTTGCTTGACAAAAAATAAAAAAATTAAAAATAAAAAATAAAAAAATAATAAAACTTTAAAAAGGTTATATTTTTCTTTCATTCGTTGTTATCTAATTTATTGTAATATTGCATGGGCTTGTACATATCATACAAAATTAAAAAAATTGTACCGTAAACATAATATGCGTACAGAATTTTATTTGAAGATGATAAAGTTGTACCATGCGAGCCTCTTCTGCGTATACTAGGCGCATTAAACGTTTATAAAATCAACTTAAACCAAGTTTTTATGTTCATGTATAAAATAAAAATGGGACTATCTCCTAAAATATTTCAGTCCTATTTTAAAAAAGTAGTGCATAAATATCCAAAAAAAATTTCAGATCATAACTATATTACTCCTAAATATAATTCAAAACAAATTACATATTCAATGCAATATCGTGGACCTTATTTGTGGAAAAAGTTTCCTAATATTGCAAATATGAAAAAAGTTACTATACAATAGTTTAAAAATGAATCGAAACAGGTGTTATTACTTATGAATTTTAACTAAAATTCAATTTTATAAAATGTCTCAGAGTTTATCAACTTTTTTTTTTCATTAATTCAATTATGGTGTTTCCTCTAATTTTAAAAGTTATTATTGAAATCTAAATTTTGAATATATATTTTTTTTAACAATCGATGAATTGTTATTTATTTTACTTTTATACAAATTAATTTTAAAATATACATAAATAATACGGTTTTAGTAAGTTAAGCAAAGCTTTTATTTTTAATTTTTTGTCCTTTATATTAATATTACTTTAATACAAAATGTTATATATTTTATTTTCAAATTTTTCATAAATACTTTGTATAATATATGTATAAAGTGTGGCTCTTGTAAATACATGCACTTTAATTTATTTATTTCTTGTTTTTCTTTATTACTTTTCTTTCGATTTTTTTACTTTACTTTTTTACTTTTTTTAGTTTACTTGATTATTACTCTTAACATGAATATTGTTGTTGAAGCATTTTTTCAACTAATTGTTATTTATTTTAACATTTATAATTTTCAATAAATAATTTATAAAGTATAAATATATTATACGGTTATTGTAAATAAGTACGATTTGGGCTCGGTGATAAAAAAACAAAATAATATCTTCTACTTGCCCCGCCAGTGTTTTTATTTATAAACTTTTAAATTGTAAAAGTTATTAAACGGCGAAAATAAAAAAACAAACAAACAAACAAAAAAAATTGCATTGGTTGGAGCCTAGGAACAAAAAAAAACCAAGCATTTTAGCCTTCTTTCCTTAAAACTTAAACTTTCTTTTTTCAAAAAATTTTCTTAACTAAATTTATATTTATCGATAATTTCAAACTTCAAAAAATAATATATATATACAAAAAGTTATATTAACATAAACTGATCATAACATTAAAATGAAACTTTGTTTTTGATTATGATTAATGATTTATGGATTTAAGAGATAGTTGTAAAAATGCTTTTAAAAAGCATCAAGTACAAACAAAACAGGAAAAATTCTAAGGTACATAACACAATAAATAATATTTTTCAACAAGTGGGATTAGAACACGATATTTCAGTTCTAGAGATTTGTTGAAACGAAAACAAAAAAAGTTAAAAAGTAAATACCAAGAAAGTAATATAAATTGCTCGTTGACTTTAGATAAATAAAAATATATTATTAATTATTATTAAATTAAAATGAGTTTGGAAATTTGAATGTTTTTATAATTTGACGCTTTTTAAGTAGAGGCCGATGTTAACTTCTATTACATGGACACGTAAGACTAAAAAAGTTTGTTCGATTCTTTAATGTTTCTATTTTACCTTTTCTGTTTAAAAATTGGTTAAAAAATGGTGTGTTTATGGCTGCAATATGTAATATATGCAAAGAAAAGAAAGACGAGGAAAAAAATTATCATCAATATGGCTCAATATTCCTCTGAGTCAAATACCAACCTATATACCCATTTTAAAATCAGCAAAACGTGCATCATCCTCCAGCCAAAATATTTTTAACGAAAATAATTTTTAGCACAACTTTGACTAAAACTTTTTTTGTGACATATTGTTAAATTAAAAAAAAAATTTTCTGTAGAAATTATAACCTTCATTTCAGATTGTAAACTTTCTGTACACTTTCTGTGTCAAAAACCATCATTAAAATCTGACGATGATTTTTTTTAATTAAGGTTTTTGATAAGTTTAGTGTTAACCAAAAAACTTGTTTTATTCTTCACGATGAGATGTGTGTTAAAAATTTTTTATTGTATCACGGATGTGCTCTTATTCGAAAAACATTGGATCAGCCATATTTTCTTGCAAAAACTGCTTTAGGTGACATGAAAAATTGTATGTTTGGTAGACCTAACTTGTGAAAATGTTACCTGTAAACAAATTGAGTTCTCAATTTTTATATGATCAAATGCTTTTGACAGTAGAAGCAGTTAGAGAGTCTAATGGCGAAGGAAAAGGTGTATGCGATGGAAATAAAACTAATCAAGCATTTTAAAAAAAATTTGACACACTTCCTGATAAATCTTAGTTAACCATCAATAGAACTTTTTTGTTGTCCGTTTAATCAAAAACATCCGAAACGTTTAGCTCACAGAAAAAAGAGAGAACAAGTTTTTTTATGAAAAGGGAGTTGAGAAAACAGCTTCTTAAAATCATTTAATAAAACCTTTTGAAACTGAATCTAATTGTCTCATGAAACTTTCTGATTTAAACCAAGTTTCTGCTTGACCGAGTCATTTTGAAAGAGAATCTGTTTCTACCTGTCTAAAGGTATTTTTTGAAAAAAAATATAACGCTTTTTTTAATGATCTTTAAACCTCCATAATCTTAAACATAAGTAAAACAGCTGATTTTATTAAACTTGTTGTCACATGTTGGAAAATTTTATATGTAAAAACTGTAGGAGTAGATTAAAGGTTTAATGATGCTCGACAAGCTGCCATCTGAGATTCAAATGATGAGCAATGAAAATTTACTTTGGATTTTGGAAATACGGCATTACGTATGGCAAGTAATCAGGGAAAACTTAAAAAACAATTAACAGTTGATACAGAACATTCCATAAATCATACACGTAATGTAGTTGTTGAGCTGATAAAAGCACTATTAAGAGAAACATTTAAGTATGCTCTGCTGGGAATTTATACTACAGACCCACTTAAAAAAGAATTTAGCAAGTTAAGACAAGGATTTTACCAACACTAGAAAAAAATGTATAATCAAAAGTATCCGTTGATTATATTTAATTGTCATGTCAACTTAATTGAATTGTTTTTAGTTGTCAAGTTGATAGTTGTTTGTTGTTTTTTTGTTGAAATTTCATAATTTTATGATTTTGAAAGTTTTCTTTATTTCTTTAAATCACTAAAATAAATTCTTATTTAAAGGTATACAATAACCCCCTAACAATATTTTATTTAACTTTTTTTTGAAATGGTTTATAAATTTGTTTTACTTCATTGTTTATTCAATTTTATGAATTGAAAAAGGATGTTAAAAAGATTTATAACTTAAAAAGATTTATAAATTATTTTTATAAATTGTATAAATCTTTACATCGTTTAATGCATTCTATAACAGGAGATCTTAAATAAAAAGACCTTGAAAATAAAACATATTGTCTTTAAAACAAATATACATCGTTTTGATTTTTGAAATATCGGCGCCCACATTTTTTTCGAAGTTATGCGTGTCACAGCTTGTTATTTAAAGAGCGCCGTGACAAATATATAGGCGTCCCGAAAAGATCTTACAGAGAAAATGGTTAAGATATCTGTTTTAACAACTAACAACTCATTCAGTAAAAAAAAGCTACTTTTACCACACAACAAAAAAAAATCTGCGTTATATGACATTCACCAGCTAAAAGGTCAAATTAGTCGACTAATTTTAAATAAGGTTTTCGTAGGGGGATTATTTACCTCTTCCTTTCCTCCCCCTCCCATCCTACTAAGGACGGACCTGTTTATAAGTGTATTAATCTAAGATGATAAAGGTCAAAATTTAAAAAATGAATTTGGTTAAACGTGTTTTTTTATGGGAAATTTTAAAAGTTTTATTTTAACTCGAAAAGTTAACTTTTTAAAAAATAAGTTTTTATTGTTTATTTTTTAGAAGAGTTTGATGTTCTTCTTATTGTTTTGCACCGGA